AAGGCGTGCAGGGATGTAGCAGCATCAAAAGGAGTCGACATAGGTCAGCACTGTCTCTAATGATTGTTCCTTGAAAGAATACAGAGCTGCAGTTGTTTCTTGTTTCGAGTCAATGGTATTGCGACTCAGTTGCGTGACAACATTTTTCCGAATATGCACCAACTTGAAGCACGGCCAACCTAGAGAACCGCTTTACACGAGGCACCGTTCAGCTCTGCATGGACTTCAGTGGGGCCCGCCTGTCGCTTCTCGCGCGGATCTTCCATCACAGTGTGATCCTGCCAAGGCTTGCAGGGATTTGATTTCTGGCTGCGCGCGCTTTTTCCATTCTAGTTGCTGCGTTTTGGAGATGGAACCTTCGATTTTGCATGCTATTTGCATTATTTTGGAGCTGGAACCTTCGATTTGGAATGTTCTGCGCAACGTGTGAGAGCTGACAGATTCCATTTTGCGTGCTTAAGTGGAAGACAAGTGGGAGACAAGTGCGAGACAAGTGGAAGACAAGTGAGGGACAAGTGGGAGACAAGTGGGAGACAAGTGAGAGACAAGTGAGAGACAAGTGGGAGACAAGTGGGAGACAAGGTTCCAAGGTTCCAAGGTTCCCGGAACCCTGCTGCGTCCGATTGGCAAGGAGGGAAAAATCGGGATACCACCCCCCCGCTTCTAGAGATTGAAACCCAACAGCTTTCTGCTGTTGGGAACGAAAACGAAAGCTTAAATGCTCCAAGCAGGCACGAAGCCACCGACCCAAACAAACTTGCAGAGCAAGCAGAGAACTCAGGCAGCTTGGCGCTACCTTTCGTGAAAAGCAGAGGCAAAAAGACAGAAAAATGAAGACACGGGAAAGCAAAGAAGTAGAAAGGCAGAGAAGCAAAAAACAAAAAAATACAGGGAAGCAGAAAAGAAAAAAAAAAGAAGCAGAAAATAAAATAAAAAAGAAGCAAGTAAGCAGTGAAGCAGAAAAGCAGCAAAGCAGAGAGACGGGCAGCAAAGCGGAGAGAGGGAGAAATCGAAAAAACACAAAATAAAGCGCCCTAAATAAATGGCTCCCGAATTTCAACTGACGGCTGCATCTTTTACGGCAGGAATCAACGGTGCACGCTGCAGCAAGAATGTGCGTTGCGTGTTTTCAATTTCCAAAAACGTTGGGCGCAGAATCCAAAAAAACTGCGGATAGAATCCTCCTGGATACTCTCACGTGACAACTTGGTGTGACTTTGGGCAGGCATGTCAGGGCTGTTGCAGATATTCTTCGGGCCTATTGACACACTAAACACTGATATTGATGTTATTTGGATGACGACATTTCCTCGGAAACTACACCAGCTTGGACCACGGCCCACCCAGAGACCTTCATCATACCAGACAGCGTTCAGCCGTAAAAGGAGCCCACTTCAAACAATCTGCATGGACTCCAGTGGGGCCCGCCTGTCGCTTCTCGCGCGGGTCTTCCATCACAGTGCGATCCTGCCAAAGCATGCAGGAATGTAGAAGCATCAAAAGGAGTCGACATAGGTCAGCACTGCCTCTAATGATTGTTCCTTGAAAGAATACAGAGCTGCAGTTGTTTCTTGTTTCGAGTCAATGGTATTGCGACTCAGTTGCGTGACAACATTTTTCCGAATATGCACCAACTTGAAGCACGGCCAACCTAGAGACCGGGGAATTTGAATGTGGTTATGACACCTGTGAGCGGTAGGGGGGGGCCCCTTTCAGAGAAAGTTTCCCTCAAAACATGATTTGCATCCCTCCGCATCCCGTGCTAGAGAAAGAGCACCTTCAGCTAGCTGAGCAAGTTTTCGTGCTCTCCATAGTCTAAGCTTGACATGGAACATGTGATTGTATTCAATCGCATCAACTTTTGAGAACTCTTCAGGCAGAATGCGGCTCCGCTTCTGGTCTTCAAAGGGATGCAAACCCAAAGGGGTCCATCAAAATTCTGGATTCTGGATGAATCCCTGCCATTCAACAATAGCTGCTTATAAACCAAACATGGGATTTTCAGAATCGGATTTTGTGCTTCCAACATAATGTGTTGCGTGGTGCTGCCAGCCAGTTTGGGGGCGCCCAACCGCGCCTCCATGCGCTGAGCGCACCAACTGCGAAAACCTTGGTTTTCCTGCGAGGACCTGGGCCCGATGTTCTCCTGTAAGGTGCCGTGCTGGTGATGCACACGCAACCCATGGCCTTTGTTGGTTGTGGTATATTGGTTGCATGTGTTGGCTCTTATAGCCCCTGATTCAAACATGCAAACCACGGATTGATTCAAATTTAATATGTAAATCATGGGTAAACCATTAGAATCAGTTTCTAATCATATATTTATGATTTGCACTAAATTATTCACTGATTGCAATGATTTTAAACTGGTATATATACAGTATACAGTACTGGGTGGTTTCAAATACGAGTTTGAACAAAAAATGTCAACCATATGTAGGCAAATGATCCCACTTGAATTATATTTTCAGGGGGTCTCAACCACCAACGAGATATATGATGTGTACAAGGCCAGATCCTACTCTGAGGTGAGAGTACCAGGCGCAGGTTTCTGAGTTGCGCCATCTACTTTCCCCAACCATTTTTTGTGAAAGTTTTTGGCCAACTTCCATTAAAATAGCGCCCAAGTTTTCTTCCATTTTTCGACGAAAGAAGAAGGATGAGGATGAGGATGAGGATGAGGATGAGGATTTTGATGATGATTTTGATGATGATGGTGATGATGATGATGCTGATGATGATGATGATGATGCTGATGATGATGATGATGATGTCGAGAATGATGATGTCGAGAATGATGATGTCGAGAATGATGATGATGATGATGATGTCGAGAATGATGATGATGTCGAGAATGATGATGATGTCGAGAATGATGATGATGATGTCGAGAATGATGATGATGTCGAGAATGATGATGATGATGTCGAGAATGATGATAATGTCGAGAATGATGATAATGTCGAGAGTGATGATAATGTCGAGAATGATGATAATGTTGATGTTGCGGAAAATGAGGTGGAGGTTGATGATGTTGAGGACGATGAGGTAAAAAAGGTTTAGAACATTCATGAAAAGGGAACTTTTCCGGGAGATTGGAATTGAATGGATTACTGCAAAAGTATTTAAAAATGGTTTTCAGACGCGGTGGCTGGAAAATCCAAAGGGTTTACCTAAAAAGAAATGTTGATTTAAAAGACACTGCATGGTATAGCCGTTGCGTGGAAGCCGACTTATAGCGTAGTTTTTAGCGTACTTTTGCTATGATATATTGCCTCTACTGGTATGCCTGGTATGCTAAAAACTACTGTATCTTTCTTTTGTCTGAAACTGATTGACTACTTTCTAAAGGGAATCACCTGTATAGGTGTGTTTGCCGTTGTTTTTTTGGTTCCCCACCTGCCAGGTGAGGGTTGTTAGATTTTATGTCAGTTGCCTGCTCCTCTCCTCCTCTCCTCTCCTCCTCTCCTCTCCTCCTCCGCCTGCTCAACCGCGAACCTCGACGCACAGTGTTCTCTGTCGGACCTCAACCACGACCATCCACGCCCAGTGTTCCCTGCCGGACCTCAACCACGACCATCCCCGCCCAGTGTTCCCTGCCGGACCTCAACCACGACCATTCACGCCCAGTGTTCCCTGCCGGACCTCAACCGCGAGTATCCACGCCAAGTGTTCCCTGCCGGACCTCATGTAGGAAGATATGGGACAAAAAATGTGCAGAAGAAAGTTAGAAGATAGAATGCCAGAAGATTTGCCAGATAATATGCCAGAAGATATGCCAGATAGAATGCCAGAAGATATACCAGATAGAATGCCAGAAGACATGCCAGAACATATGCCGGAAGATATGCTAGATAGAATGCCAGATAGAATGCCAGAAGATATGTCATAATATATGCCAGAAGATATGCCAGATAGAATGCCAGAAAATATGCCAGATGCAATGTCAGATAGAATGCCAGAAGATATGCCAGAAGATTTGCCAGATAGAATGCCAGAAGATATGCCAGAACATATGCCAGAAGATATGCCAGATAGAATGCCAAAAGATATGTCAGATAGAATGCCAGAAGATTTGCCAGTAAGAAAATGTATAAATGTCATGGTGGGGATCACACGAAGTAAAGTATTTTTTTCTGGCCCACTTTGTCTCACATCTGCACTGAACTAAAGCGCTGCCCACCTCCGGGTTTGAACTAGAAGAAATTTTCAGCGCATCTGCCTCACGTCAAGATATGTTGCATGCGATGGCAGCAAACACTTGACCCAAATTTCGACTGCAAAACACCGGCCTCGTTCTTGACATAATCAGCGATCTCACTGTTGAATCTTTGTCTGGCGCTGTGGCAATATGCCTTCACGATAAGTTTTGGTTTCCATTTATTTAGAGCTTCTGGCACTGATTCGGCGCGCGGGTCGCCCAGATCGAGAACTTTAACATTGTAAGGAAATGTGGACGGCAGGTTCTTCTCCATCGCAATCTTCTCGTCCTGCTGCGCAAACCTTGGATCATCTAGCCTTCTGTCTTGTATGACAGTGTCCACGACAGTGCTGCATATTGGTTCCTTGGTTTGCGGGTCCTTTTCTACTTTTCCATGGGTCCCAGACAAGATCAAGCAGCACGGTTTGCGAAAAGAGTAAAGTTTTTTGGGGCCATCAGGCAAGTTCTCCAAGGCTTTGCGCACATCACCATCATCAATAGTGCCACGGAACTCAATAACCTTGACGCTGTATTCATGGTCACCTTGGCCATGAGCAATTGTCATTTCGTCACGTGTCACCCTGTTTGGCCCCACCGCAACCGCCATGGAACCGAAATGAATGGATCCAGTGGATCCAGCAAGTACGCAAATGGAATCTCATGGGTGAACCGAAATTCCACGACAGGATGCATGGACGCACAAAACATGGTCATCATGATATGTCATGATGCATGATATGTGTTTATGTCGGCAAATGGGTTCTGTAACTCGGCAAGAATCTTTCGCATGGAGCAGAGCTTTTCTTGTCTGGCAACGTGCTAGGATGATCACCAAGTCAATGCGCACAAGGGCACTTACCCAGCTATCTGGCCCAAGTGCTCTCCGGATCCTTTTTCTGCAACTGATTTTGATACCCTTCGCGGCTGCTGAGATGCGCACAAATTTGCTGCAGCGACCGGAGGCTTTCATGATTGCCCGCTTCTGCTGAAAAAGTACACTTGACACCTATGTCACCAAGGTCAAGCCGCAAGCCCCTGTTTTGGCTTCAAAATATGACTGCTTTGGAGCAATTTTGAGCAAATGCAACCTCTCCTAATGTGCCGCAACATCCACACACGCTGACCTCATCAACTTTGTATCTGTTTGGTGGCACTGAAATTGCCAATGCAAAAGAGCCCTGTGGCACTCTTCTGGCTTCCCTTCAGGATGCATTTGTCAATGTAGCTGGTAGCTGATGTCAATGCTGCCAGACAGCCTTCAAGCAACAGCTTCCGTTACGAAAGCTCTTGGGAACTAACTCAAGTGATCCCACGTCAGAGTCTCAAACCTGACATGTCGGAAACTCATCCCTTGAAACAAACACCAGTTGCTATTGAAGTCAGCCATGGTTTGGGCCTTGGATTCAGGGTGAGAAATGTCGTGCTCGCTTGAGCTGTTGAGTTGACCACTTGCGAGCCGGCTGAACCCGGTGGACTCCCAAATTCTCTTGCTGCTCCAATGTGTGTCTGTCTGCATCTCCGGAAAATGCAGTTGTTCCTGTTGTAATCGAATCTGTTGACATGTTGGACTGGTTCTCTGTTCTGCATTTGCTCCATGATGTCCTGCTGCTCTTTGGATTGCTTACACTGACACTTCTGCGCGGATTCGGTCTCAGGCTTTGTACTGGAACCAGACTCCTGACAAAACCCGAAAGAGATTCCTAGTCGAGGACCAAGCGGCAAAGCTGCTAAGCAAGACTGAAGTGAAATGTCTGGTCCCAAGTGTGGAGCAAACAAAATGTCAAGAACGCCAGCACAGAACCAGCAGTCAACCCTGCGATAGCTTTCAGCTAAGTTTGAGGGTAGCACCACCTCACAAGAAGCCACACTTCTCTTATCTTCTCTTGCTGGTTTCTCCCGGACTCGCCATTCAGCATGACATGTAGAGTAGAGCACTCGACGCATGTCAATGTACCAACAGTGTAGAGGACTCACTTCAGCTTTAACACTGGGTCAGCTGCCAAAATAATCGCTGGACCAAGAAAGGCCTCAAGACTTGAAATCATGGAGGCTTTCTGGATCAAAGGTTCTATATACATCTATATCAAACTCGGCATGTCTGATAGTAGGGACACAAGCAACAAACCGTGGTTTGACAAGCAACAAAGAATCCATTAGTCAGGTGTCACTGCATCAATATCATGTTTGATTCCGAGTCAATAGAGAATTATATATATAGTATGGCTAATCTTCCAGCTTCAGACAATGGTCGGATAAATGGTGGTGCAACACCCAAATAAAAACCACCGCCACTCCTCGATTCGGTTAAGCAACGTCAGCAAACTGGTAAGGCACCAGCAACTGCTTCGATTCGAAGCTTTATCCAACATGGCGGCACCAGTGCATTGAAACACTGTACCTGCGGTATCTGGACACCAATGCGAAAGATGACCCTACTGCATCTTTCATCAGTGAACCGGCTGCTACAAAGTTCATAATCAGAAGAACCAGCTACAGGCCTCGCTGGGTACATGTCCTTTTTTGCCAAAGTCACAGTCCAAGGAATCGCTATCCCCTTCACCTCAAGAAATATGGCTGACGTGCTTAAGCATGTTCAAGCCACATTGCACCGTACAAGTTCGTGCCTTTTCTTGCTAATTAATCACAGTTCCGGCACATGCTGAGATCATCTAAAAGTGAGGAGAGGACGCCGCGAGTTGACATGAAGAGGATGGACCTGAAGCGCTGCCAGATGCTGACAGCAAACAGCTCAGGTTCAGATCCAAATCTTTGCCACCAGCGGCCCCTCAGCACCCGACACACTGCATGCATGGCTTCTCTGGAGTTCCTACATCTATCCTGTATAGCGAAGAAGCAAATCTTCATGCTTCTTCGCACAAAGGACAGCCTAAATCCAGGACCCCTCTCCACCATGACCTTTCTGCTTCAAGAATTTAGTGAAAGCGCTTAGATGCTCTGTCAATGAAATTTGCACAGAGCCAAAACAGGGAACTAACAAATATGGACCTGATCCTTCGCCAAGATGGACGTCACAATCGCAAGCCTCAGATCAAGTCGCAATGAATCACAATTTGATCTGCAACGACCTCTGCTCCCCTACCCCCCAGTGCTCGGAATCCGACAGCTGTGGAGCATGCTGGGTCTCCTTCTATGCGACCGCCTCAAAGAGGTTTGCAGTGTCGGGCTGGCCACAAATGAGTACGGCAACCCTAAACCGGATACCCATGGACCCACAAATTTCGTCAAATTTACGGATAAATTTGGCATTTTTGAGTTAGCCAATTTAGCCATGCAAAAGTGGTGGAGAATCTTGAGCCATGCGCAGCGAAGACAAAACTGAGGATCAGACTGGACAAAAACTCTTCAAGACATTGCGAACATGCTTGCACGTCCTCCGCGCACGTCCTCCGCGCACGTGAGGTGAAAACATTTTGGTTCTAAAAATCCACCAGCTTCAAGCAGTCTTCTCTACAGGGCGGGTTGCTGGAGCAGAAAATGCTAGCATCATCCACATCGACAGTTTGGCCCAGTTCGATTTTACAAAAAAAAACAAGTCTTCACAGTTATTGTTTCCGCTTTCCTGCGTCACCAAATACCGCTTCATCAACGGGATAGGGCAAGTGCATTCCCGGGCCTGGATTTGTGCTGATGCCAAAGATTGCAGCATGGCAAACAAACATGGATGGAGCAAAAATTCTTGGGGCAACCACGTGCACATGCCTTGCTCCACACTACACCTGCACAAGGTGGTTCACCCAGTGAAAGTCATCAATGTGACAATGTGTTTGGGTTGATACGTCGAACAAAATAGTGAAGATAGGCCGATAGACCACAAAAATATCTAGGTACAGTACAATTCACTCAATCTTAAAACCTGTTCAGTCATTTACAGACAGTAAAATTGAAGTCCAGTTCGTTGACGCAGTTGCTGGGTTTGTGAGGTGGTTTCTAAGAACACGGCTGGCCCAATGATCTTCATGAGGCTGGATGTCTTCAACCTGAGTGGCACAGGGGTCAACATGTTTGGCCCAAGAGTTGAATGTTGCTACAAAAAATGAAGATCTAAAGATCTAAACAGTAAAGTAAGGGATCAATGTTTAACCCAAAAATCCGAAAAGATCTGAACAGTGGTTCACCAACATAAGCGATATAATTGCTGTAGTATACAACCAGGAAAAAACAGAAAATCTGGGATATCAAATGGATTCTAGCAACTACACTACTACCCCCCAAAAAAACTGGAGTGTTTTACTCGCAAAAAGCAACCAAAATCCGTTGTTCAAATCAGTGATTCCCATGAACCTGAGATAATTTGGCCCATCGAAAATCTGCACTCAAAGTCCACGGATCTGAGTTGCCAGCAGAGTTGTCAACAACTTTGCGCGTCAGCAGCTTTAAACAAGGTTTTTCTGCAACACCTGCAACAGGTCTCATCAGTCACGAGTCGGGTTTGTAACGGACAAGAATGGCATTGATGAAACTTGATGAAACTACAGAATCATGTTCAGGGTCGCGGTATGCTCGCCTGGAGGTCATGCAAGCGGATGTTCAAAAGCCAACGCAAATGCAACATCAATTGCAACGTGGGGATGAACATGTTAACTTTATGTGAGTTCCTAGTTTTCTATTTGCCTTTTGTTGTTGCCTTCTATGGATGGACAGTTGTCTCATGCCAGCTGGGTTTTTCTTGAGGTAGTCCTGGCGCCGTCAAAGGCAGCTGCAACATGTGCAATCTACAAAGCCAGAAGCTGCGAGCAGTTCATCCGTGCTTTGCCTCATATGTGCATGATGCAGTTCACCTTTCTGAAAAGCAACTGCACATGTTGCCTCAACCAACATGTCTTGATCTGAAACATTAGCCAAAGAGGGAGAAGGAAAACGACGCGCACACATCCCACTTATTTCTGCAAATGTATGGGCCAAGGAATCTCGTCTCCAAGTGGGCATACCTCCAAGACAGAAAGAAGGTAATCAGGGGAACGCAACAATGTGGCAGAAAAAAAATGCCAACGCAATGCAAATCACAGAGTTGAAATATGTTGAAATCTATTTACAAGAACTGACAACATGTCTGAAGACCCTCATTTCACAGTGGAACTCAGCTCGAGTTTCATATCTCTACCAGCTCGGCCTGCCTGGTCTGCCTGGTCGCCCATAGCGATGTCGTCCATGTCGTCCATGTCGTCCATGTGACCAGGTCAGCGCGCTCCTGGCGAATTCATGGCCCCCCTGGAAAGATTGGAAAAAGATTGCGAGAGGTGACGGAGGTGGCACGATGTGAAACTGATGGCCATGTTTTCACCACTGGTTGCGACTCGGGTCACCCCACTCACTCTTTACAGTTTTTGGAACAAAGCCTGAGGCCTCCTTTCAGAAGAAAATTCGTGAGAAATTAGTGTGTCTGCTGCGCAACTCTTAGACCCCACACCATCTTTGAGAAGGATCCAAGAACCATGCTGGAGGAGCAATTTCCGATCTCCATGGGTCCATTTTGCGACGCATTGGAAATCATTTTGGATGAAATTTCAGGGTCGAAAAAACTGTTTCTATGTTTTGATTTGCGTTAAAAAACAAGCAAACAAACAAACAAACAAACACTTAGAACTTCCTTTGGGGTTCTGTTCGCTCCAAAATGTAAGTCGGTCACTATATGTGAACAAATACAACTATATCTATATATATATTTACATATACATAAAAATACAACTATATCTATATATATATATGTAAAATAATATGTATATGAACATGAAAATGAAAAATGTAAGTGTATATATATATATCGTGTGCGCATGTGTGCATATGCGCATGCAAACATTAAGATGTTGCACTACAAGATATGTGGCCGTATTCCTTGGGGAACCCAACACTTAGAACCTCTGTTTGCTTGGCCCTGTTTTCTGGGAGCATCAAGTATCAGAGGTTCTAAGTGTTTCTTCCATGCATGGAATTTTAAATAGTTGATTTTTTTGAAAAAAACAATTCCAAAACTAAAGTTTCTTGAGAGGCTTCAATCAATCCAAAATGAATCCCTGCCAGTGTTCAAAACAAGATCTGAACCAATTTATAGACCCAATCTCTTGGAGCCAACCCCAGCTGCTGCATGAAGGGCGCTGCCCCATGAGGCCCCAGAGATGGTGGTATGTCATGTCGCAAGATGCTCGAAGCAAACTCATACAAAATTTGAACAAAAAATCCTTCGTACGCGTTGCTCAGCCTCCTTTCCTGCACAGAATTGGTGCAAAGTCAGGGCCAGGGACACTCTGTGACACTGTGTGGCAACATAGAAAAATGGATAAATGTTCAGCAATGGACCCCACAAACCCGATGGTCCCGGCCTCTTGTGGGCACCGGCGCTCAGCCCCGTCCTCGACGCCCAGGTGCGTCAGCACTGGGCGCGGTCGGCGCACATGCGCCGGCACAGGTTGGGCTGGCACCGCTGACATCGCTGGCACCGTTGGCACCGCTGGCATAGCTCCACCGCTTGCACCGCTGGCACCTCGGCCACCGCTCGCACCTCGGCCACCGCTGGCAGCGCTGGCAGCGCTGGGCTCAGGTGGGCCTCTGAAAGCGCGGCTGCAAAGAGCCAACAACTGAAACGCAGCTAATTCGCATTGCAACAAACACAGCAAAAACCGAAACCAATAATGACAACGATGCATGCTAACGATGCTGTCATCATGCGTCGAGAATGGCAAACTGCTGGGGCCTGCTCAGCCGGCACGGCTACCTGCAAAGCAAGCTTGTAGTGAAGAAGTAAACACTTGAGGGCTCTGTCTATGCAACTATGCCATTCGAAAGCATGGCAGCTGAACGCCAATCACAAACCCAAATTTGGACTTTGGAAGTTCTTGGGCCTCTCCTACCCTCTTGGCCCGGACGAAAGTGCAAACTGCCCCCAAGACTTTTAAAGTCAATGATCACCACCCCAAGCACAGCTGAGTTTCATTAAAAAAACATGAAACAACTGCAGCGCCTCGTTGCACCAGGCAAATACGAATGCCAGTTTTCGACAGCTGGGCAAAGGGCGAATTCGCGACTGAGGAACGCCTGACCCAGCGCAGTGGCCAAAGCCTAAAGAAAATTCCGAGGCCAGGGTCTCACCTGCCCAGCAGGGACAAAGAATGCTCCAGTTTGACAGAGCTTGACTTCTCTCCCACTCCGTGGAGAAGCCACATGTTCATCCAAGTCGCAAATGAGGCGTCAGGTCCAACCTGGCAACTTCACAAACACCGTCAAGCTCAAGCTCTGCCGTTCGGAGTGTGTCTTTTCTGCTGGTTCAGAGTTTGTCTTAGGCAGATGCTCGAGCCTTGGCGTGGACCTGAAGAGCGTCCATCACAGAAAGGATCGAGCACAACACCCCAGGCAAGATCCAAATCGGGACATCCTCCAAGGCTGACAAGTCATCTGTTGCTTTGAGATCCCCTTGGGTTGACATCTCGAGCCCCAGGCGATAAGCATTCAAAAACAAACTTCATGGCAACGGACAACCGAATTTTCAGCTTTGAATTGTGTGATTTCAGCCATTTCAGGGCGATGTTTTTGCCGGGGGTCGTTCGATGCCTGAACTTCTAGTTGTGGCCAAAGACTTTGTACAAAAAACAATTTAAAAAATATGTTGCGTGAAAATGTGTGCCATACTTTACTTTAGATTGGAACCGGAAGTGAAACAAATCTGAACAATATGTAACTTCTACCAGCCAGTATCGCTTGTCAGCATTTGATTGAAACGATGGCATAAGTATGCATAGATGGCACTCCTTACTTGTATCATTTGCGATGTTCTTCATTGGCAAAAAGTTTAGCGCTGAACGAAGGTCCACAAGAAAATGATTCTTTTGGACTATTTCTGCTTCCCACTTTTTTTGCAATATGATGGGGGGAGAGCAACCAGGACGGTGCTATAGGAGGCTGCGCGAATGTCAAATAGGTTCGGCACTGTGCTTTGATGGGAAGAGTGTGAAGGTGCGTGATAAAATCCTGCACGCGTGCGATATCGGTGCAATGCAGCACTGCGAAGGAAGGTTTGTGATTGAAGAAAAGTTGGGATATTGAAGCATGGAACAATTTGCTGAGATTTGGTGCTATTTGTAGTAGCTGAAAAAATCAGGAATGCTATAATTTCAAGCGTGTGTCTAAAATCAGAGAACTGATGCATCAACCTTGTGTCTGGAAGTCTTTCTCATTTAAGCAAGGTACGAGTAGCAAAATTCTGCAGTACTCACAAACTGGCACATCTTGCTGGACATATCTTTCAGCGCTCTTCGGATCTTTCAAAATTCGAGAAAGTCCCAGAAATTGAAAACCACGTTGTGCTGCCAGAATAATTTGCCAAATTGGTTTTGAAACTCGGCAAGAACCTTTCGCATGGAGCGGGGCTTTCTCCCTGGCAACATTCTAGGATAATCGCCAAGTCAATGCGAATAAGGGCAATCTGGTCCAAGAGCTCTCCCGTCGGCTGCTGAGATGTGCAGAAAGTTGCTGCAGCGACCGGAGGCTTGGATGGTTGCAGCCTTCTACTGACAAAGTACACTTGACACCAACGTCACCAAAGTCAAGACCTCTCTTGGCTTAAAAGATATGTCTGGTACTGATACTGATACGGAGAAAACTACGTTGAGTAAAAGACACCTCTCGGAATGTGCTGCCAGATCTGCTGGGTGTGCTGAAACTGCTAATCCCCTGAGACAAGACCATCTCATTCAACTCCAGGATCTTCCAAAATGCAGCTCAGCTGGCTTGGCTTCGCGGTGCATGTGTCAATGTAGCTGATGTCAAAGCTGCCAAAAGGCCTTCCTTCAACCAACATCTTTTGGTAGGACAGCTCTTGGGAATTTACTCAAGTAATCCTACATCAGAGTCTAAATGCTGGCATATCCGAACCTCATCCCGGAAGCACACATGTAGTTTTGAAAGTGCCTTCTTGCAGCGCTTGACCAGTACCTTCCCAACCCCAATCATTTTCATACTTTAGCAGTTCCAACTTGCAACCTCTTTGCATCATGTTTGTGTTTGTTCTTGTTCGCGTCTTGGATTCAGAGTGGAAAACCTCGTGCCTGTGTGAGCTGTTGAGCTGACCACTTGCAAGCTGACGGAGCTGTCCGCTCAGTGATGCTGCATCAATATATACATACGTGATATGTTGTAATATACTACTAGTCTTCTTGGTCAAGAAGCTGCACTATGAACAAAAACAGGTACAAACCCACAAGTTCCACGAAAGCCCATCTCATGAATCAGTCAATGACTGCAAGAACGGCGCTGTTGGTGCAAGGCTCAGATTTATCAGCAAAAGTTCGTGAAAGTTCGGCACATGTTTTTGCACTTGCCCATTTGCCCAGCAAGAAGTTGCTGCTAAGATTCCTGCACATCTTGCAGGATCAGCACAGCGGAAACCCTTGAATTGGGGCCAGAGCATCCATCAAACTGACACCCCATGCACGAATTGCGTTCAAAGTAGCAGGCAGCATGTACAAAGTAGTGAGCTTCTATAAATTAGTTAATCACTCATCATGAACTGTTCTCTGATATCAATGGAGAGTGATGAGCGGTGAACTCTGCAAAGGAAGGGTTTTCAAACTTGGCAACACCTTTATTTACCAGTAGTACCGCACAAGGCGGTGGCGGAAGTTTCAAAAATAGGAAAGCTATAGGAGAGCTTGGTTGTTGTGAATCACGGATGGCTGAGCGAAGCCACTGATGGATCGAAAGGTGATTGATGTCTCCTCCCTTTCTCTCTGTTTTTCTCTCTTTCTCTGATTATCTACCTGCCTACCTACCTACCTACCGATCTATCTATCTATCTTTCTCTCTATCTCTCTCTCTCTCATCTGTCTATCTGGCTATCTACCTATCTATGTATCTATCCATCTGTCTAACTATCTATCGATCCATCCATCCATCTATTCTATCTATCTATCTATCCATCCATCCATCCATCTATCTAACTATCTATATATATCTATCTCTCTCTCTCTCTCTGTCTGCTTGTCTGTCTATCTATTTATTTATCTATATCTATCTATCTATCTATCTATCTATCTATCTATCTATCTAGCTCTCTATCTATCCATGTATCTATCTATCTAGCTAATCTATCTATCTAGCTATCTTTCTTTCTCATCTATCTCATCTATCTCATCTGTCTATCTATCTAGCTAGCTATCTATCTATCTAGCTATCTATCTTTCTCCTCTATCTCATCTATCTCACCTGTCTATCTAACTATCTATGTATCTATCTATCTATCTATCTATCTACCTACCTACCTATCTACCTATCTCTACCTATCTAACTATGTATCTATCTATCTACCTATCTACCTATCTACCTATCTACCTATCTACCTATCTACCTATCTGCCTATCTACCTATCTACCTATACCTATCTACCTATCTACCTATCTACCTATCTATCTATCTAACTCTCTCTCTCTCTCTCTCTGCCTGCTCGTCTGTCTATCTATCTATTTAGCTATCTATCTGTCTATCTATCTATCTTTCTATATATCTATCTATCTAGCTCTCTATCTATCCATGTATCTACCTATCTAGCTATCTAGCTATCTAGCTATCTATCTATCTCATCTATCTCATCTGTCTATCTAACTATGTATCTATCTATCTACCTGTCTACCTATCTACCTATCTACCTATCTGCCTATCTACCTATCTACCTATCTACCTATCTACCTATCTATCTATCTATCTCTCTCTCTCTCTCTCTCTGTCTGCTTGTCTATCTATCTATCTATTTATCTATCTATCTTTCTATCTATCTATCTCTCTCTCTCTCTCTCTGTCTGCTTGTCTGTCTATCTATCTATTTATTTTTCTATCTATCTATCTACCTATCTATCTATCTATCTATCCATCTATCTTTCTAGCTGTCTATCTTTCCATGTATCTATCTATCTATCTAGCTAGCTATCTATCGATCTAGCTATCTATCTTTCTCATCTATCTCATCTATCTAGCTAGCTATCTATCCAGCTATCTATCTATCTCATCTGTCTATCTGACTCTGTATCTATCTATCGATCTCTCTCTCTCTCTCTCTCTGTCTCTCTCTCTCTCTCTCTCTCTGTCTGTCTGTCTGTCTGTCTATCTACCAGTCTATCTGCAAGCTTGAAAGCCTAGCTATTCTGCGAGACGTCCTCAAGTTTTGAACTTGACAACATCAAAAACGCAGCAATCCTGCGTGACTTCCTCATTTTTCAAAGTTGACAACATCAAAAACGAAGCAATCCTGCGAGACTTCCTCATTTTTCGAACTTGACAACATCCAAAACGAAGCAATTCTGCGAGACGTCTTCATTTTTTGAACTTGACAACATCCAAAACGAAGCAATTCTGCGAGACTTCCTCATTCTTTTGAGTTGACAACATCAAAAACGAGAAGCAATTCTGTGAGACGTCCTTCAAAAATGGAAAGTTGAATGCTTTCGCGTGGCAGGCGCAAGGGATTGTGCACCTTGTCAAGATTGAGCAAAACGTGAGGGTCTTGTAGCATTTCCAAAAACGATGGCAGGCGTGGGACATTTGAAGAGGATCTGGAAGATGCATTTTCCGTGGCAAGCGCAGTACAAGAGACATCTTCATCGGAGCTGTTAGGAGGTCCGGGCGCTGATTTCCTGAGAGGAGTTGCATTTCGGAGCATCAGATCTGTAGGTTTGCTGCGATGATTTTGCGTGACAGGTGCAGCACTTCGTATGACCTGGCATCACTTTTTCGTGGCAGGCGCAGTACTTTAGACAGGTGGAGTGGAAAAAATGCGAAACGCCTTGGTACGAGCTCTTTTGTACATTTTGACTTCGAAATGTGTTTCGCGCCACAACGGCGTGCACTTTTTCGACATCGCAACTTCCAAAAGTGGTCCGAACGTGGTGTGTTTTGTACATTTTGACTTCGAAATGGGCTTCGCGCCACAACGGCGTGCACTTTTTTCGACATCGCAACTTCCAAAAGTGGTCCGGACCTCGTGTGCTTTGTACATTTTGACTTCGAAATGTGCTTCGCGCCACAACGGCGTGCAATTGTTCATCTCTCATCTGGCCAGGTGGCTCCGCACCAGCCGCTTTAGCGAGCCTACTTTTCAACCCCCCGGAGCCAAAAATCATTGGAAAAACACAGTGTTTCGCGACTTTCCTACCTTTTCGCGCATCTGCAGCTTCTTTATTCTGACTCTTTCTCTTCTCTGATCTTCTCTCTTCTACTCTTCTCTTCTCGCTGACTCTTCCCATCTCTGCTTTTCATCTGTCCATATTGTCGGAAGTTTGACTTCTAAACTTCCTTCGATAATTATTTATATATATATATATCCACGCACCCCAAAGATGGTTTGAGATCTACAAACAGTTTAGTTTAAATGAAAGGCTGCTCTACTTGCCTGCGTCAGATACTGCTCGGCAACTGCAAAAATGCCAAGCACGAAGCGCAACTTGCCTCCGAAAGCCAATTGAAGGTATCTTGGGACAGCTAGGACACGGAATATCAAGGGGAAAAACCAAAAGGTGCTGTCAGAACTGGCATTGTTGAGCCATGGAAAAACGCAAAGGCATTGCTAAACACGGCAGCAAATTTTGATAAGGCATGGGAAATCCAGAAGAAATCTACACTGAGGCTTCCACTGGCAGACTCCGATCCTTTTTGGGAATGGCATCCTCGCGGCTCAAAAGAATCAAATTCAGCACAATCTCAGCTCGGGGAATACTCACGACATGACTACAGTAAAATACTCGAAAGGGTCACGTCAGCCATTCATGTTTTGGGTATGGATGCAAATTTCCCTTTCAAGTTCACCCGTTCCGCCCCTTCGCCATACTTCACATCAACCACCTCAATGGGCTCCCACCCAGATTGTTTCCCAGGCGAAGCACCTGCAAAGTCAACCTGAACTCATGTCACAAATCTGGGGCTACATGACCCATCTACAGGTCTGGGAGGACAGGGTTCCGGAGTTCCGGAGAAGGTGTGGGAGGCTTTGGTTTAGGGCCAGATCAGGTTCAACATGGTTCCGAAGAAGGTTCCGGAGAAGGTCTGGGAGGCTTTGGTGCAGAGCCAGGTCAGGTTCAACAGGGTGTACAGCCAGGTCAGGTTCAACAGGGTTCCGGAGAAGGTTCCGGTGAAGGTCTGGGAGGCTTTGGTGCAGAGCCAGGT